CGCTCCCGCCCCAGCCCCTCCTTTCCCTCTCGCCCTTCGCCAAATGAAAAGGGTTCTTTGGACCTTGGCCTTTTGGGCAAGAACGCAGGAACCCACGCTGGGTTGGAGCTTTCTGCTCTGAGGAGCCTGACACAGGTCTTCGTAATTAGCGTGGAGTTGGTAAAAGTCTAGATCGCACCCCCCCAACATATTCAAACACAAAAGGACCCAAATTGCGAACGGGTTTCCTCTGAGGTAGCCCTTGTGGCGGGGGTTCGGTGGATCGAGGGAGCCTCGCCTCTGAGTAGACGCCTGGGGGCTCTGTCCTCTGGGGACCTAGGACAAGCGAACTCTCGGGCGCCAGCCCCTTTCCACCCAGTGCCTGGGACCGCTTCGAGGCTGAGTAGCTTCTGCCAGGTGGCCCTGGGCCTAGGTCCTGGTGGCTTTTCTCTGACCATCCTGGTGTTATTGAGCTCCGAGACTCGGAAGCTGGGTGGGAGGAAAGGCCTTTTCCTAGTAGGAACGTTTCCAAAACCCTTCTGCCACACCTCCAGGTTCAAAGCTGAAGACTTGGCGAGTGGTGGCTGTCAGGTGAAATGATGCTATGGCCCTCGGATCTCAGAACTGGTGGGAGTGAAGCTGGCCGTGGGTTAGACGCAGGGCGAACCAGGCAGTGACAGAAGGCCTTTCCTGTTGGCAGTGGGGTAAGCAAGAGGGGTGGGCGCCATGGAATGGATCTGTCCGTTCAAAGCAAAATCCAGAGGAGAATTGGAACCTGTCCGGCAGCCATTTTCTGATGTCATGGTACCCAGGATTTTGACTAAAAACACCCAAAGACAACTCAATAGACGTTGGTGTGAGGAACGAGTGACCCAGGGACCCTCCACTACCCCTCCCCTTTGGTTGCAAGTGCTGGTCACTCCACCAGACCGGTTATGCACTGGCTCTGGAAATGTCAGTACACTGGCCACAAAATATGCAATGTTCAGAACCCCAAGAATGTCAGCAGGAGAGGAAAGCAATAGCCCAGTGCCTGAACTCTGGCTTTCTCTAACCAAACCCTACACATTTCAGGTCTCATGGCCAGGGCAGTTCCTCCACGAGTTGTCATATTTGCGCCACCTAAGCACGATTGAGGTGAACAGGACTATACCAGCTCTTAAACATACAAGCTGACAAGTATCATTTGGGAGGGTGGAGTGGATCGAGCAAGCGGCTGATAGTCCCCTACACAGGTATGTAAGGCCTGGGTCACAGCCAGAGAGAGGAATAGGAACCCAAAAGAGAAAGTACAAGGAGGAGAAAGACAAACAGACAAAGACAGGCGGACACTCAGGCCTAGATCATGGAAAGAAAAAGAGGGTTGGCGCTAGGAAAACCTTTAGTGTCCCGCCCCCCAACTCAGGCTTGGGCTCTGTCTAGGGGCCAGGTGACTGGAGGGAATGTCTTTTCCAAGGAGCCAAGGGATATGAGAACAGCCAGGAAGGGGACAGGAGGAGGACAGCTCATAAGTAGACATTGTTCACTCCTCGCAGCCCGCCGCCCGCGGCCCTTAGGGAAGTGGAGACTGCGGGGCCGGCTCAGTGGCTGGAGCCTACTCTGTCTGCCTGGCTTTGTGAACTCAAACCAGCGCGGTTTCAAATGAAACACGTGCAGCTTCTTCGCCGCACTATTTTGGCAGCCCCACCAGCGGCTTTCATCCGCCAGAACCTCAGAACTATTCCTCCGTGGGCTGCGTGGGCGGGGGCGCCTCATGCATATTCATCAGCACGTGGAACCGCGGGCCGCGGGCCGCGCATGCGCACTGCTCTCCCAGCGCCAGCCCCAGCCCGCGGCAGCCACTTGGAAAGCGCCCCGCCGGGCTGCAGGGTGGCGCAGGGGTCCCCTCAAAAGCTGACCGCCAGGCCTTATGTGGCGGTGCTGTGAGGAAAGGCTTGCTGTTCCACCCTACCACGACTAACCCACCTCCAAAGCCTGTGTTTATACATTTTCAAGAAATTTTCCAGGACAAAAATCTCCCTTGACTATAGATTCACCCACCCCTATCCCTTCTCGTGGTTTTACCTTCCTCCACAACTTTCAGTTTTCTTTGCCAGAGGCGAGGGTTTTCCCGGATACACGGAAAAAATGTAAAAAGGAATCAGGATGTGAGCTTCTCTCGCCCTCTTTTTGTCCTGTTTTCTGTAGCTTAATTGAATTGTTACGCAAAAGATATGCAAAGACATAATTTTTTTAAAGTTTGCCAAGGTCGATAGCCTTTGAGCGTCTGTTTTTTTTTAAATATATAATTCGTATGTTTATATCCACACTTAATTGTTGATTCTTGTATATGCTGTCGGTGAAAATATCACTCTTTCACAACCAGTGAATTCTTATGCATATAATTACAAAGATGACTCTCAATCATCAGAGGCAGCTAAAATTTTGTGGACAATTGACAGAAAATAGTAAGTCTCTAGTATCATTGCCAAGTAATATCATTTCCATACTAGATAGCTAAATCTAGTTTCTTATTCTTGAAAAACCTACCTCCAATATATCTTCAATTGGAAACTTAATAGTGTTTTAGGTCCTTGCCCTGAAGTGGAAATAAAATTTAGAAGCTAATGCCAGAATTCAGCTTGCATGGTAAAAATAGACCCTGGTTTGGCCTGATCGTGTTTCCTCTTGCTTAATGAGACACTCTGGAGTGAACCAGCCTTGCACAGATTAATGGAGAACATTGCCCATATTTTGTGTATATTATGCTATTATATTTGCAACCAACTTTGAGGAAAAGGCTCAAATGTGACTTACTATAGGAAGTTATTAACATTTTTCTTATTTCTTGCCCCAAACTAGTCATTATCATTTGAAAAAAATAGATTGCTATATAGTTACCCCCAGAAAGCCTTACATTCTATAGCTAACCAGTTTAAATGGGTATGTATTACTGATAGTGAATGGGGTGGTACAAAACTGAAAAAAAAAAAAAAACCTAGGTAATGTGAACCTTTAATGGTTTGCCTGGCAGAGATGAGGTAAATCTTTCCATTGCCACTCTATTTTCAAGAATTCTAAAACCAGAGAGTGACATCAACTGTGACCAATTTTATAAAAGCAACACTTTGTTTTTCTAATATGAACACATAGTTCTAACAACTACACTTAATGCTAGGAGGAAACAAGAACTCTGTACCTAGAGAAGAGAAAATAAATTTGTATTTAGTATTTTGAGTTGGAAAAAAGAAAGACATGTGAGCTGGGAATCTGCTGACTTCATATCCTAGTTCACAAATAATCAAAGGCACAAGCTCAGTGCCCTCATTTTGAGTTTGCTGGACCACATATAGTTACTCCCCAACCCATTTTTAAACTGATGCTGCTCTTTAAGGACCAGGGCCTTCCCCAGCCTGCTTCCTGGAAAGCAGTGTGAGTATGCTCAGGTACTGACTCCACTAGCACTGATTCACAAGGGGTCCAGGACATTGATGACTACTTGACCTCAAAAAGGGAACCGTCAGGAAGGTTTCAGGGCCAGGTAAGGTATTTGGGGAATGTAGTTCTGTCCCCAGCCCTTTAAAAGTTCTGAGAAAACTTCACAATCAACAAATAAAAACATCTAAATGCCAGGCCCATCAGTAAAGAAGGTTAGTGCTATTTTCATTGTCAGCTAAAGCTAAAAAAAAAAAAAAAAAAAGGAAAAAGAAAAAAATGTTAAGCATATGGGGCAATTGAAAGGTTACATCTTTCTTTTGGAGGTAGTTTGCTTCTTAAAGGTTAACTTGAATGCTTGACTTTAAAAAATCAAAATCATCAGCTGTAAATGCTTAAAGCAGTTGGGGGTAGCTTTTGAAGAAGAAAACAAAGGGTTTGAAATGTTTGAAAATTGCTTAGCCCTCCTTTAAGTGGTACTGGTATATTTACATGCTTACTCTATAAATGTACACACACACACATACCACAACTCGTTCCTGTTCAATTCTCAAATATGATTGCTTGTACTCAGACATTTTTTGTTGACACAGTATAACTTTTTAATACCTTGTTAGCCATTCTAATCATTTGATAGTAACAAAATACAGTGCAGTCAAAATATGAACCAGGACGGCTTTCTGCCTAAATCAAAATCCACAGCTACACACAGAAACCAGCCATTTGCAGCATCTTCAGCTGCTGCTAAATAGGGTCTAACAATATATTTTGCTGTTCACATTCATGTATTTCAAAACCTAATAGCCCATGAAGAAAAGTATGAAGAATTCATCTCAAGAAGCAGACATTAAAGGTACCAGAACAATAATAGACTACATTTAAGTTTGAAGCATTATTTTAGGAAACCTACATCATGAATGACTTTTTCTCTATGGTGAGTGTTGGAGAAGAGAATACATAAAGGGGGTTGACATAAATATTAACTTCTACTATAAAAGTTCCTTTCCTGTGAGTGAGATTAGTCACAAACACAAACACAGTACCTCTCAAATGTTTTTCTAAAAAAGTATTTGGCCTCCAGTGTCTACAAAATTTTCTTAAATATGAAACAGTTTGGAAGTAAATATCTATAAAATTTATCTTTAAAATATCCTATTTAAATCATATATCATAGTATGATATTTAATTATTCTACTGTGATATTAAAGTTTAAAAGGGCATCAGGTACATAAGAAATAGTAAAACATTTATACTTCCAAATTAGAAGTAAACTTATTTCAGGAATGGTCAAAGAAAAAATGCCCACATTTACTACCTTCCTAAATGCACTAACAAAGTTACAAAGGTACTGTTGTTATGATGATGATGATGTCATTATCATACTTCTATCAGGGTCTCAGACATTCTGATCTCTAAAGGAAAGGGGAAGGATTATTAACTGAGGTGTTTATCTTTCTTTCCTAAAGAGATGAGCTATTTGTATTCCTCTTTCAGTTTATTAATTTGGGGGCCTCATGTCTGGAGTCACTTCAAATACTATGCCATTAGTCAATTTTAGACCTCCAAAACCAACTAGGATCAGCTTTTGGTCTCACAAATTTTTGGAACCAGCAGCTATTCCTGCTTAGGTGTTCAACTTCCTTAAAATCTCACCAAATCTTGCAAGGTGGCGCTCTTTTCATGAGAGGTTGATATTTACTCCTCTAAATCACAGTAACATTTTTTAAAAAGTTAAACACCACCATCCCCAGTTTTTGATGTGCTGCAGAAAGTGCATCAAATCCCCTCATCTAAGAAAACTTTGTTGACTACAATTGACATATACAAATAGCAAGTGATGAAAGGACAAGTCAAAAAAATTTTAAGAGAATTGAGCATTTTGATTTTGCAATTGCTCAATGGTACATTTTGAAATAGATGAGAGTATCTTAAGGGGTTCTCATCCTCTTGAGAGTTTTTCCCTCTTGCCTTCCTTCTCAGGATCAATATGGCCCGTGACATCCTGAATGCACATAGTATGTTAAAATGCAAGTCTGGGTTCCTCCTTGCCTACACTGAGGTCAGTTTCTGCCTCCTGCTCTGACACATCCACACCCTTGTAGCTACAGCCCAGGCCCTGATTTGTGATCTCCAGCTACGTTGTCTGCTTAATGGGGCGATCATGCAAGCTACAACCAGAGACAAAGAAGCCCGCGTTCCTACCAGCGCAGCTAACTTCGAGGGAGCAGCATAGCTTGCAAATCTATCAAACTAAACTGCAAGAAAGACAATCTGATTTAGAGAAAAGGCGTTCTGCTACAGTCATTAAGCACAAGTAATTTAGATTTTTTATATTGTCTCCTCATTTACAAATTTACTGTATCAACGCCAGCCAATGGAACGAATTTCTTAAGTAAATGAGAAATAAATAAAAGAGATAGAAAGATAATCAAAATAATTCTCTTCCCTAGATGTATTTTCGAGAGAACTAATAATAGTGGCAAAATTATAGGAATAATAACATATCATAGGAAGTAATTAATTTAAATTAGCATCACGTTTGAAAAAATATAAGTAAAACGCTTTATGGACGTTTACTTTTGTACAAAGAAGGAAGGCCTGGAAAAGCATGCATCGACATCCTGAAAATTAGTTATGGCCATAAATGGTTTAATTGAAGACAGCAATTTAAAATATGATATTGTAAATCTGCAACCCGGTTTCAGCTCGGGGAATTTAATTTGGGGGATAGCGGAACCCTCGGCTGCAAGTTCATTTGCAACGCTGCAGAGCGAGCCCCAGAGCTTCTGACAATTCGCCTACATTAATATTGATGTCGCCTGTGCAATCTATTTCTGTTATTTTTATGGTTGTTATTCTACGTCTGCAAAGGTCATTTAAATTATACTGCGACCGAAAATTTGTTTCATAAATTTTGATATAAATACTAATTACACCCTCTCGGAGAGCCAGCAGGGTAGCGTTCATTTATCACGTTTATACGACCTGCGATGACAGAAAGGGAAGGCGAGGGAGACTGGTGAGCTTTTCCAGAGACCCACTAAGGCTGGCAGAAGAGGCAGCAGGTTGCTGGGGGTGAAGAAGAAATTCCTACCACAATCACTGAGATTTAAGAATCTTTAATAAGGTACGAAAGGTTACCAAACAGTTCTGGAAACTAAAGTGTACATACGAGTTCTTCTAGCCATAAATATTGAATAGCTGTAACATGAATAAACCGGCCCTTTACATGCGGATAAATATGGAAACTAGGAATTATATACATTATGTGGTTGTATCTTTTGCCAAAAGTAACGGACAGTTATAGTTTATATCTTTTTTTAATATCACTTTACATAAACAAATGGAACAGTTTGACACGCAGATCCAGGCTCGTACTATACGAATTCTTGACAGGACGTGAAACAACATTTTACTGCACTAAAGTACTTAGACTTTGGGACGAAATGTTTGCACTTTATACAAAAAAAGCACATTAATACCAATAATATTCTGTTAGGTCGACGTGAAGACTGTAATCGTACAAAGTAATTCACATTTTGGTACACATTTACTAGAACATTCTTGCCATTCAGTACAAACAGTTGGCTTTCGGCCACCCACCCCCCCTCCCCTCTCCCTCCCCCTCCCGCCGGGCCCCTCCCCCCCTCCCCCAATGCAAAGACCACAACGCCACGATCCCACCCGCCCGTTCCAACCGAGATATAACTATATACAGAATCCAACAGTACAGTTTTAAGCTAATAATTCTGTATGTACAAGAATGCAAAGCAAAAGAAAGAAAGAAAGAAAGAAAGAAAAACCGAATCCCAGAGAGCCTGTTCGGATTCTGAGGAGAAACTGGCCCTCAGGGTTGGCGGCATTTGGTCAGGCGGCCGCCTTCTCCTCGACGCCCCCCACCCCCCCACCCCTTGGCTACCAAGCCTTTGCCAAAAAAAAAGAAAAGGAAAGAAAAAGAGGGGGGAAATTTAAAGGTTCGGTGCCTTTTCTCTCTTACTCGGTCCTGGGTCTATTGGCAGGTTTAGAAAAAATAGGATTGCGAGGGTGTGGGTGAGGGCTGTTTTGATGCTCAGGGTTCTTTCAGTAATATGTTGTATACGTGTGTGTGTTCAGTCTCTTAAATAGGGTTTTGTTCGGTGTTTTGTTTCCGATTTTAAACGTACCATTCGTTAAAATTGGATGAGAGCGCGCTGTGGCCGGCTGTGTGGTGGACCGCGGAGGAGGAGGGCGACAGGGAGCTGGTGGTCGGGTTGTCTGTGGAGGGCGACACGATGGTGGGTGGCGTGGAGGACTCGTAGCCCGAGCTGGCGGCCGGCGAAGGTTGCGAGCCCTGCGAGGAGGATTCGTGGACCTGCGGGAATAAAGCCGCGTTTTTACGGAGATAAAGAGCCGGCGCGGCGGCCGCCTAGGAGGGGTGAAGGCGGAGTGCCGCCTCCCGGCGCGCCCCCCACTCCGCCCCTCGAGCCATGGATCCCCTTCAACTCAAGGGAGGCCCGACCAGCGGGACTTGGGTTTGCTTGTCCCGCCTGGCCCTGCAGAGGCAGTGCTCCAGGGAGGGACACTGCCTCCCGGGACTCACAAAAGAAAATAGATCTGGGAACTGGGAGGCTGGATGTGAGGCCGGAGCCAGAGACGGTCCCTCCCTCAGCCGCTGAAATTTGTTTGCTTAGGTTTCGGTGAGCAAGCGCTCAGGCCTGCCTGCAAGACCCCAACTCTGCCCAGCGCTGCCAGCCAAGCCACCATGGCCACAGCTTCGGCAGCATCAACCCGCTGGGACGGCCCTAGCTCCCCATCAGTCACAGCGTCTGCTCAAGTGCTCACTTCCTTTGACTTTTATTATTAAACGGTAAATTTAGAACGGCCTTGGGTGCCCCCCTCCCCTTTTCCAGCCCCCGCCCTCTCTGCCCAGCCCCACTAAGTGGAGAGTAACCATTGCCTTTCCGCCTCCACCGGCTCCTGTCACCGCCCGTCTGCCACTCGCCGCCCGATCCCGGCCGCAGAGCTGAGCGGGCTCCTGGCTCCAAGGCCGGCGGCGAGAGCGCGGCGATTACCTTCATGTGTTTGCGCAACGAGCTGGGGTGCGTGTAGGACTTGTCGCACATCTTGCAAAGATAGGGCTTGTCGCTTGTGTGCACGTGCATGTGCTTCTTGCGATCGCTGCTGTTGGCAAAGCGTCGGTCGCAGCCTTCGAACTCGCACTTGAAGGGCTTCTCCCCTGGTGCGAAAGGCGAGAAACAGAAAGTTCTGGTTAGAACAACCCCCGCCACTCTTTTCAAAAATTCAAACAAATAGAAAAAATAAAAACAAAACAAAACAAAAAGGCAGCGACCCAGCATTAGCACTTTGCAAGCTCATAACCCGGGTCTTTAATAAAGTCATATATAGGCAATGGAATTGTAACTATCTGAACTATTTTAACTTCTAATCCAATTAGATCCAGATTTTATTATTTTATTATTAGCAGTAGTAGTAATGCTGGTAGTTTTTTAGATCCCAGAGTAGCAGCAGTGCTGGTGGCTGCTTTTTCGGCCCGGGGCTATACAAGATGACTTCGGGCAGCTTCTACCTAGCTCTCGGTTTCTAATTTTCACATTCTGGGCTGATTCTCCTGCTGTTTTGCTCTTCTCTCCTCCCCCTCCCCCTCCCCGACGCTCTGCACCCCCCTCGTCGCCGCCCCCACCCCACCCCACCCCACCCCCTATACACACTCACATTTTATAGGGTAATCTGGGCCAAGACCTCGGCGCCGCAAGTTCTTCCCTGACACCGGCGTTAAACACCAAGTTCCAAGTGCGGTTCTCAGAAAACACCCGGGCGAACCAGAACAGGGAAGCAGCCTGGATTCCTGGCCTTGTTAGCCCAAGAGACTCAGAATGGCCTGCCCAACCCAGGCTACAGCCCTGAGCTCGCTGCGAACTTTTTTTTATTTGTTCCCAACCGATTTCTTTTATTTCTAAAGGCCAACTCAGGGCATTCGGTGTGTTGAAAGCCTTCTCACAGAATCTAATTGACCAAAAGGACTTCCCTGTCTACCGACTCTCCTGACTTCTGAAGCCTACTTACAAACAAGTCACTACTAGAATTGGAGCTCTTAAAATATGCGTAAGCCACCAAAAGCCTCCTCAGGCCCGACTTACTTGCTTTTGCCACTACCCACGCCCCCCTTTTCTGTCTCTGTTTTTGTTTCTTTCCATGCTCCTCCACTGATTTCCTCCAACTTCCTCAGTTCCTTCCTTTGGCAAAGTCCTCACTAAGGTGCGTAGAGAATGATGCTGGCCTGAAGCAAACATTTAGATTTGCCTGCAACTGGAGCGGCTGGCGCCTCGGCAGACGCCGGAGCCAGCTAGCCATCTCTCCCGGCTCCGCGCGCACCAAGGGCTCCGTAAAGCCATGCTTGACTCTTCTCTCCCGGCGTTTCTTATTTCTCATTTTAAAATCTATATCCCTAGATCCTTCTGGTCCGACCCCCTCTGTACTTTATTAGCATTTCAAGCCTCAAACTAAAAACCAGTTCACACTTTCTCTGGCTGCTGGAACCTGACTTCCAGACCCAGCCGAGGCCGTTTTTGCTCACCCCCGCCTCTGACTTTTGGATTTCGGGTCCCAGGCTCGGGATAGGGGGCGGGGGATGTCAGGGAAAGCCGTTTCCGTACCTGTGTGCGTCCTTTTGTGGATCTTTAAGTTCTCAGAACGAGCGAAGACCTTGCCGCAGCCAGGGAAGGGGCAGGGGAAGGGCTTCTCGCCCGTGTGTACGCGAATGTGGTTCACCAGTTTGTATTTGGCTTTGAAGGGCTTGCCCTCGCGCGGACACTCCTCCCAGAAGCAGATGTGGTTGCTCTGCTCTGGCCCGCCGACGTGCTCCACGGTGACGTGCGTGACCAGCTCGTGCATGGTGCTGAAAGTTTTGTTGCACGACTTTTTGGGGTTGGCCAGCTGCTCGGGCTCGATCCACTTGCAGATGAGCTCCTGTTTGATGGGCTGGCGCATGTAGCGGAAGAAAGCGCCGGCGCCGTGATGCGCGGCCATGTTCACGTTCATGGGCCCGTAGCCGTGCAGCTGCGGCGCGGCATAGTGCTCTGAACGCGGACTGGTCACCTGGCCGTACTGCTCAGGCCGCGGGTACATGTCCCCGGAGAAGCCAAGCCTCATCTGCCCGTTGACCACGTTGGGCGACGCATGGCCCGCCGCCTGCTCGTGAAGGCCGGGGAAAAGGAGGTGGCCCGCGGCGTCCGTGTGGCCGTGTGGGCCCCCGAAGCCCCCGGCCGAAGCCGCGAACAGACTGTGTTGCGCGCTGGCTGCAGCCGCCGCGTCGCCAAAGCCCCGGTTGCGGAACAGAAAGTCCCGCGTGGAGTTGAAGGCTGCGCTGGAATAGGAGCCTACGTGGCCCGGGTGGTGGTGATGTCCCAGGGCCGCCGCAGCCGCGTAGCCCGGAGCCTGCGATGTGAAGGCCGTCTGGCCCGCGGAGGCCAGCTCGTGCGAGCTGGGGTTGAGCTTGAAGGCGCCCATGCCGTCGGCGAACGGATTGATGCCCAGGCCCACGTCGCG